CATAAAGGTCAGTCCTATATATATATTTATATATGCGTTATATAAAACCACTAACATATACCCATACCTTAAAATGTTGAGGTGTTCGGGCCAATGTATAAATATCTAAGTAATGGCATAAAAGTTTGTTGAAACAATTTTGTTGAATGGTTTCAAATTAATTTATTGACAATACGGGTCTATGAAGGTTTTTCCCACTTTTTGTGATCTTAAGTCTTATGCAGACAATATGATGATTTTGGAATATAATAATGACGTGTTAATGAATACCAATAAGATAAATTTTGACATAAAAAGTTTGTAAAATTCCTAAGTAATTTTGAAGATTAAATTTCTAAGAGATATGAAATAATTGTTAGATACAATCTCATCATGCCAAAAGTATGTTGAAGAGGTTCGATGTGTTCGATAAAACCTCAAGCTGAAGTGTATGTAAACTTGCCTCTACACTTAGCTAAGAATTCGAGAATAATTAGCCTCTCGGCTATAGTATGTTGAATAATGTTTATCAAAATTAATGGAGTTTGTTACAATGAAATTTGGTAAGGGTTTTTGTATTGTTTGATGAAATTAATATTTTATTTTGATATGCATCATTTGTCAAATCTCGATATTTTGTCTATAATATATAACTTCGAAAAATCCGAACAAATTGTAAAAAATTGTTACCCAAAAAAATGATCGGTTAAAAAATTTGTTACCAAAATCCAATCAAATTTGTTACCGAAATCCGATTAAATTGGTTAACAACATTCGAATCCATTTATGAAAGATTTACATAATTTATCTATTTTATTAATATCATATTGACATGTGAGGCCCATTAATATTACATTTAATAGTAAGTCAACTAATTACTTTCTTAAGTCAAAATTACTATTTTTGTATTTTTCCAATAACATCTTTATATTCCTATTAAATTGGATAACAACATTCGAAACAATTTATGAAAGATTTACATAATTTATCTATTTTATCAATATCATATTGACATATGGGGCTCATTGATTTTACTTTTATTAGTAAGTCAACTAATTGTTTTTTAATTTAAAATTACTACCAACAACCTCTTTGTATTACTATAGATACACGAGCGTCCCGGTTTGGGCTGGACCGGGTGGGGTTACTGATTTTCCCCTGAAAAGATAAAGTCGGGACTCGGAAGAGACGCACAAACAAATTATTGACGTCTCTTCTCCCTCAACTCTCCGTCTCGTAGGGTTCTCAATTTCCTTTTCCTTTTCCTTTTTGGCACAATTATTTAGTTTCCTTATATAATTTAATTGAATTAGGGCAAGAGACTGTGTACGATCTATCTTTTATCTTCTGTTTTCGCAGTTGGGAAACTCGATTGCTGTAGACGCCATGGCTAAAAGCTACTTCAAGTTGGAGCATCCTCTTGGTATAATCGGATTTCTCATTATTGATTATCTCTAGTTATCGTCTCCTCTTATGTTTATGGTGATGTGATTTGTTGATTTGTGTGTTGTTGATTCGAATTTTCCAGAGCTTCTATACTTTACCTTCTGTAATGATCCGAACAGAGGATTTTGTGGGTTTTTGTTTGTTTCTAGTTTCGATCAATTGCAGTGGTTGAATTATGTTATGTGTGTGCAGTAATTTGATTTATGTATGTGCCTACTATATGAGGATCGACTTTCAGTCCATATAATGATTTTAATGTGTTCTGGGTTTTTTTTGGCATCACCTATTGCAGATGGTGCCTTAGAATTGCTAGAAAACTTCGATTTTTGGGATAGTGATTACCACTTTAGAAAACGAAGACAATGTTTATTCTCTTGTCAATGTTCTATGGATGAATTGATTTTGTTCTTTGTATGATTGATGTTTCTATGTGTGAATTGATTTTGTCCTTGTATGAAAAAGCCATCAAGGTTTTACGTCCTAGGAAGCACAAGAATTGTAATAAGTGCCAAGTGCCTACCAGTATTTTGTTTTCCTTTGTTGTCCTTTTACCGTGCATATTACATAACTATTTTGGACATGCTGCAGAGAGGCGGCAGGCTGAAGCTGCTCGTATCAGGGAGAAGTACCCAGACAGAATTCCGGTAGAATGTGCATCTTTTTTTCGAGTATTCTAGTTTCCTGCCTGTCACCGTTAATAAATAATTTGCATTGCTTTTGGGATTTTAGGTTATCGTGGAGAAGGCGGAAAGAAGTGACATTCCTGACATTGACAAGAAAAAGTTAGCCGTTTTTCAGTTTTTTCTTATATTTGGGTTATTCATGGAACCTCATTTGACTTGCATCCTAAAGTTTACATTTCTTTTAACGAAATCTCCAGACATTGATTTCTCGAAATATTCTGGTTCCAGTCATATTAGGAAAAATTTGAATCTTTCATTCAGAGAAAATCCTAAATAATTCTGGTGAATGGATAGGTTTATCCACCATCTTTTAGTGCATAATAAGTAGAAATAACTTTGTGTTTTCTCTTACGCATATAGACATCTTGTTCCTGATTGGTAAGGCACTTCTAGTCCCATAATGAATTTTGAATACAAACTGCAGATATCTTGTTCCTGCTGACCTAACTGTTGGTCAATTCGTTTATGTTGTCCGCAAAAGAATTAAGCTTAGTGCCGAGAAGGCTATCTTCATCTTTGTCAAAAACATTCTCCCACCAACTGGTAAGGGAAAATGCAATAGGTTTTGATGTCTTTTATGACCATAGTTTTGTATGCGCTTTTTGGCTTTTCTTTATATAACATGTTATTTGCTGTGCTACTGCAGCTGCAATGATGTCCGCAATCTATGAGGAGAATAAAGACGAGGATGGCTTCCTTTACATGACTTACAGTGGCGAGAACACATTTGGGTTTCTCTGAATTGGAAGGGTTCCCAGTTGAGCTTCTGTAAATAGTTTCATCCAACGACTTGTAAATTTCCTTAATATATATCGAGCCTGTCGTTATTAATCTCTTCTAAAGAGATTGTTCCTTCTAAAAAATGTTGGCAAACTTATGTGGATTGAGTATTTTAATATTATGGTTGCCTTTAAGAATATGTTACTGCGTTTTCCTCGAGTTTGTATACCTTCTTTTTATACTGGTTATAATTTGTAGCTTCTCTCACCCGGGGACCATAGATGTGGTTTCTTATTGGTTGCAGCTGCGCGAAACGATCTGGGTTGTCCGCAAGGAGGGATTATAGAAGTATGACATCCTTTATATGTGGACATTAATCCTCTATGTTTCCATTTGGTAAGAAAGGTTAATAGTAAAAGAATGAAAAATATAGATTTGGAACATACCTTTCTTAAGTTCAGGCCTATCATAAGCAATAGAAGTTTACTGAAAACCTTAAACCTCCTCCCGACTGATAAAACAATTTCCTCACCGGAGTTAACAAGACTTTATTACTACATTATAAATATTCTAATTTGATTTATTGTATAATTTATTGTTTCATTTCATTGTAGAAGTTGAATTTATATACACATATATAACTAGTATTAATTAATGTATAATTTATTGTTTCATTTCATTGTAGAAGTTGAATCTATATACACATATAACTAGTATTAATTGTGCACAGAGTAATATATATATAT